AATTAGTTTGGGGCCCAGGTATATTGAAGAGATTAAATAGATAAATGGGAGTTTTGTTATACGTAAGCAAACTCACTTATACTTAAAATAAGAAATACTTAAGTAATGACAAAGAACTTTAGATAAAAAGATTTATTTAAAACCGAAAGATTTTAGAATAATTTAATTACAGAATTTTGGTGTTTAGACAAATATCGAAATAAATTTTAGCAATGCTCTTTTTGAAATAATTTTTAGATAATAAAAGTAGTGATATAAGGGGGCTTCCAGGACCGGTTACCATCGGAGCAGGAGTTACCAACTGAGGGTAAATATGGTCGAGGGTTTTGTCTCGGCTATCGATCATCTCGGGATCTGTTTTACCGACCGAGTTTTCGCGGGAACTCGGCCATTTCGTGGATGTTGGGGGAATTTCGTGGAAGTCGGACATTTCGTGGATGTCGGGGGAATTTCGTGGAAGGTGGGCATTTCGTGGAAGTCAGCCATTTTGTTTTTTCGTGGAAGGCGGGCATTTTGTTTTTTCGTGGAAGGCGGCCATTTTGTTTTTTCGTGGAAGGCGCCCATTTTGTTTTTTCGTGGAAGTCGGCCATTTTGTTTTTATTAAATTTTTGTGGAACTCAGCTATTTCGTGGAAGTCAGCCATTTTGTTTTCTTTGAAATTTCGTGGACACCACCCTCCCCTTCCTTCCTATATTAGTTGGAAAAGAATGACGTGACTTTCTCAGAATTTTCGACCTTTCTGTGGAATCGATGACGTCATTTAACAAGTTTGAACTTGTTTTCGGCCAATATGTAATTATTATTATTATTATTAATTTTAATTTCAATTTTTAAAACAAAAAGTACGGTCTTCGTGGTTCTGTTGGCTCGGGGATTCGAATACAATTGATACATACTCAGATATCAACCAACATACCTCCTGACTGAACGAGCCACGAAGACCATACTTACTTAAGATTAAATTGGAAAGGTTAATAATGGATTAACATTCTTTTTATATTTATATATATTATTTTTATTGAACATTAGAAAAATATATTATACAAGTTTACGTACATTTCCACTAATTGCATTATAATTTACAATACGATCATGAATGATTAAGCAATAAGCTGCTGTCTGATCTGGAATTGCTGCTGCAGACTCAAACTCTAGACGAATGTCTACAGGTCCTGATTTTAATGATTCATTCTGCATGGAACAGTCGATAACAATCAGTGGTGCTTTTAATATAAAATCTTTTTTGATAACAATGGTTCAGGTTCTTTATTATAGTATGACGCCTGAAAATTTGTATACATTTCATATAATATAGCATACTGATTCTGTGCAATATTGAGATTCAAATTTCCGTATGGATAGCATTGTGAATTTAAGTATAATTTCACATCACGAATACTGCAGTGATCAAATTCACATGCATTTTTATCTGCTTGATTTTTCCGTGATGTTTGGAAGCCCAAAACAATGTAGCGTGGTTTTTCTAATTGATTTGATGTTTTAACAGCCCATACATGTTTGGTTGTTAATGGTAAAAGTGGATATTCATACAACTCCCATGTGCGGTAACTCATCGATATTGATGGATCTCCAGAAAGATAATTAAGAAGTTGAATATTTTACTTGTCTGCAACTTTAATGTACGGCATCATCCACTCAATTTTATGGAGAGTAATTTTGAATTCTTCAGCAGCTGTTTGAAAAATAGCGTCTGTATCTGTTTGAGATCTTGATATTATTAATTGATGTTGGCAGTTTGGTATGATTCGACGATAATCTTCTGCAAATCAATAGATTGAGGGGAATGCATACATCAAAATATCCATTTTCATCAGTCAATGAATCGGTCGTTTTTTTCAGCCATCCAGCGTTCTCAAGTAGAGTAGTTTGTGTGGCGCTCTGTGATAGGTATCCTTGTACAGCACATGTTAAGCCAACATTGTTTATACGATCAATTTCTTCACCGTTTAAAACATAACGTATCTCTCGAAACAGGTAGAAAATACCCATGTTGATAAATTTTGTTGACGCTGTTGCAGTATTTCCTTCTTTCTTTATTAGTCGACCATGTATGTGAAGACTACTCTTACTTGGTAATAAATACAGATTTTGATGTTGCACTACAATACGGATTTCATCATTGTTGTTGAATGTTGATGATGCATATGGTTGATGTGCTCGAACCTCGTAATGCGAGATGGACTCATCAGAGAAAACGCCTTGCTGAATTGTTAAGATGTCTTCCATGGTATTACACAAAACAGACAGCAGAAATGTATTTTTATTTTTTGCCACACCGCAGGTGAAGACCCAGGCTCTTGAGGAATGCTACGTTTTGAGGTGTTAACCCTTTGGAAGGTTTTCGAGGACTGATGGTTTTTTGCCATCTTTCCTCAGTTTTATAGCTTTTTCCAACTTTACGATTGTAAATAATTACCATTGTCTGCTGATAGATTTTATATGTAAACGAATTGTCACTGTTTCTCCACGAAAATTAACAACTGTACCACGTTCATTAACAATTTTCAATTGAAGGTTATGTATTGTTCGTACAGTGACTGGAAGGTAAACGACATGTGCTGGCACTTCATTGATCTTATATCCTGGTGGAACTGATGGAAAAAACTCGTGAATCGTGTGTACTTTGCGTTCGTTTATGTATGCACCTGAAGTTATATTACATTCAACTCTCAATGCATTGATACTGAGAATTGAAACAGGCAAATCTGATTGATGTATGACATTTGGTTCCAATTTCCTTGCAGAAAATCCCAATAGAGGTCCAATAGAGTTTTCTGGTCTAAAATCAATTTGATGGTTGCACTTTATTCGACATCGAAGTTCATTGTTATTTGGTTTTAAACTTAGAGAGACATCTGGTAGTACTTCTGTCAAGTAAGTTTCAATATCTTCTATTTCATAACTTCCTGTTGGTATTGTTATTTGTTTATCCTTGTCAAAGTAAAATTTGTTGTGACCTTCATCAATATTAGGTATTGAATTAAATGTTAAGAGTTCAATCAGTCCTAGCACATAATTTTTAGAACTTGACAATTCGATTGGTGGAAAGTAGTTTGCCTCCAAGATGGAGGAATCTCCTGACAGTGTCAATGTAAACGAATCATCCATGACTGATTGTTTTTCAAATTTAGTTTCTATTTATAGCCTTCCACTGAGAAATTCTAAACACAGATGGCCACATATTACAGTATTGTACTCTTGATATCGTTTATGATTATAATTTACGCTACCAACATCGAAATATTGCATCAAATCTTTAGGTGGTTGGAGATCTCCAAAACTGTCAAAATAAATGACTTGATCTCTTGACTTTTTATACGCCACCCAGTGAGTTCCAGGACCATCTTTATCATCAAGGTTTACAATTGCAGATTCTTTGATTCTTGGTCCTGACTCGGGTAAAGCATTTCTCATGAAAACACCTCGAAAGTGTGGAATTTTCATTATTTTAGCATATTTCTTTATATCGACATCAGTCAGAGCTCGATGTGGTAGCTTTATGTGTTTTTTGGATGAGGTCGCAAGTACAGACCCAGTCCTTTTTTGTGTTTATTCAAGTGCACTCCTTTTCCAATTGCTATTGCTTCCATTGCAGAACTGTGTCTTTTGCTTTCGGCCAATTGTTCTCTATTAGTATTGGCATCAGTCACAGCTTTTGCTATACCAGCAGCTCCACCTGCAAGAGCACCTGTTGCGCTAAGTCCAGCCAAAACAGGGATGAGCATAGGCAAAAATCCTCCAACTTTTGCAGGCATTGGTAGTACTCTAGGTGTTGTCTTGATTTTTTTCTTACCACCAAAACCTCGATGCTTTTTCTTCAATCCCATTCCAAGTTTTCTCTTCATTTTCATAGTTTTGTTTACAGTCCAAGCAGCAGCTTTTTCACCAACACTCGCGTCTTTAGCTTGAAAACGTTGCAATGCTTTTTCAGCAAGTACTTTGTCAGCTTCGTGACGAGCAGTAAGATTTTCTCGATTTTTAGAGTATGCAATATCGTGCTCTTTGCATGCAACGTCGAGTTGATTAATGCCAGGATTACCTTGAGCTAACTTCTTTTTCAATTTTGTACCGGGCCCACAATATTGATATCCCGGTAAATGCAATTCAAATGGAAGGTTGTTGATAATTGTATTCACCAAGCCACTTCCTCGCTTACGTCTGCACTCTTTCATGACTCATTGAAGACTGATGAAGTATCCAAGAATCATTCATATATATACTGTAGCGCTCATGGAAAACTATCAGTCTTTATCAAGATGAGGTTTAAGAAACAACTAATGGCGCTGCCTGTCATTAATTTCGATTGTATCACTGAACCTCAAAAGAAAATAAAAAAACGACACGGTAAATTACTACCCAATAGTGTAAGAGCAGTTTTTTGTGGTCCGTCAAATTGCGGTAAGACCAATGCACTATTGACATTGATCACACATGAAAACAGTTTGAGATTTGAAAATATTTATCTGTATTCCGAATCTCTTAATCAGCCAAAGTATAAATTTTTGGAAAATTTACTTGAGCCGATAAAAGGTGTTGGATACTATCCTTTCAATGATAATGAGCAGGTTGTTAAACCTGACGAAGCTCGACCTAACTCAGTTATGATATTTGATGACATAGCATGCGAAAAACAAAATCATATTAGAGCATATTTTTGTATGGGACGCCACAAAGATGTTGACAGCTTCTATCTTTGTCAAACTTATGCTCGTATTCCAAAGCATCTGAACTATTGCCATTTTTAGAGATACAAGCTCACTACAACAGCAGCGTGGAGGGGGCCTGGTACTGCGAAGTAATGCTAACGCGGTTCCGCAGTATCAGGTATAAGAGAGGGGAGGGTTTTAGTGAGTAAGAATCTCACACTACCGGCAACCAATATCTCCAACATCTAGCCGGTGTCTTATGAAGATTTCCCTCCTCTCGCCCAAAAAAAAAAAAAAAAACAAAAAACGACTCACTACAACATTATACATAGCATGCTATCTTCAATAAATTATTGGCGACGACAGATTCACCCTCCGCAACCTAAGTCACTAAACGAATATGTATCGTACTTGCAAATGGATAGATGGAAAAATTATTTGAGCCGTACCAAAAGTGAATTACAACTGAAGTATATACAAAGCAGTGATAAATCATCAGCAGTTGTTTTGGCCGATAAAGAATATCTACGGACAATCAAGACCAGTCATTTATTAATTGACGCGACATACAAAGTTTGTCCTCGGGCTCCAGCAGAAATCTATCAATTGCTGACCATTATGGCTGTAGTAGGTAAAAATGTAAGATAATGTTTGTAAAACTGTCAATTTTTAATTGTTAAGTACACAGAAAAAAAAATTTCTTGACTGGAAAATAAAATTCTTGGCTCAAGTAAATTTTCGGGTGCCCGAAGGAAGACCGAAGTTGTCTTGGCCGAAGTAAAAATTTTTCTTGAAATTCTATTCTTGGTGGAAGTAATTTTTCTTAATTCAAATTATCATAAATATTTCATACAATAAATTTTTATATTGAATCAAGATTTTTAGATACTTTAGGGAAGTAGTATCTTTCAGTATATAAATTTATGAAAAATTTATTATCGAGATATTTAATTTTTTGGAGCAAGAGAAAAATTTTCTCAAAACAAAAAAATTTTCTTGATTCAAATAAATTTTCTTGGATCAAGATACATATTTCTTGAAGCAAGAGAATTAATTTTGTTGAGATAAGTAAAATTTTTTGTGTCAAAAAAAATTTTTTTTTCGCCCAAGAAAATAATTAGGAAGAAAAATATTTTCTTGGCTCAAGTGAACCTTTTTTTCTGTATATGATATGCATAAATACAACATTTATTTTCTTGTAAAGCAATTAAATATCATGTTATTTTTTCAGACACTTCCATTCACATGGGCATTGATGACAAATAAAACGAAAGAAAGTTACACGGACATTTTAAAATATTTTAAAACCGAATTAGCTCCACATCTTAATATCGAGAGCGTCACGTCAGATTTCGAATTAGGAATAATGGGAGCCGTTCGATTGTCTTATATTAATGCTCACCCACACGGGTGCTATTTTCATTTTACACAAGTATGATATTTTTAATAATTTGAATTTTTTTAATCACTATGGACTGTGAGAAAAAAGGAATGAATGGTAATCGGCAAAAATAGTCCCGGAAAAATAGATTTGAAAGAAATGAATCAAGAAAAAATAATTCTGGAAAGAATAGTCATGAGAAACCGATCTATATTTTTTAATATTAAATTGTCCCAATATTAAATCGTATTAAGAGGATTAAACACACAAAATCCATCAAAAAAGAAGGCACAGAATGAAGACAAGCTTTATTTTTCAGTTTAATTCTAACATAAAAGACCCCATTAACTTCTTTAACTCCTATCAATGCCACTTTTTCTTTCAATAAAAAAATGATCTACTTGAAATAAAAATTAGAAATTTTTTTTGATCTGAAGGTCTTAAAGATTGAAAATTAGGTATTTATTATTAAAATTAATGATTTCATTAATTGAATAAGTACCAAAATCAAAGAAAGTGTCAGTAATGGGGTCCTCGCCACTAATGGGTTCTTTTACCCCACACTGATAAAAAAATTAACTTGACTCAAGAGCCAAAATCTTGAACTAAGAATAGCATTTTGAAGACAATGATTTTCTTGAGTGAAGAGAATAGATTCTTGAGACAAGAAAAATTTACTCTAATCAAGAATAATTTCTTCACTCAAGAATTTATTCTCTTGACAAGAAAATCATTTTCTTCAAAATGATATTCTTGGTTCAAGATTTTAGCTCTCAAGTCAAGTTAATTTTTTTATCAGTGTGGGGTAAAAGAACCCATTAGTGGCGAGGACCCCATTACTGACACTTTCTTTGATTTTGGTACTTATTCAATTAATGAAATCATTAATTTTAATAATAAATACCTAATTTTCAATCTTTAAGACCTTCAGATCAAAAAAAATTTCTAATTTTTATTTCAAGTAGATCATTTTTTTATTGAAAGAAAAAGTGGCATTGATAGGAGTTAAAGAAGTTAATGGGGTCTTTTATGTTAGAATTAAACTGAAAAATAAAGCTTGTCTTCATTCTGTGCCTTCTTTTTTGATGGATTTTGTGTGTTTAATCCTCTTAATACGATTTAATATTGGGACAATTTAATATTAAAAAATATAGATCGGTTTCTCATGACTATTCTTTCCAGAATTATTTTTTCTTGATTCATTTCTTTCAAATCTATTTTTCCGGGACTATTTTTGCCGATTACCATTCATTCCTTTTTTCTCACAGTCCATAGTGATTAAAAAAATTCAAATTATTAAAAATATCATACTTGTGTAAAATGAAAATAGCACCCGTGTGGGTGAGCATTAATATAAGACAATCGAACGGCTCCCATTATTCCTAATTCGAAATCTGACGTGACGCTCTCGATATTAAGATGTGGAGCTAATTCGGTTTTAAAATATTTTAAAATGTCCGTGTAACTTTCTTTCGTTTTATTTGTCATCAATGCCCATGTGAATGGAAGTGTCTGAAAAAATAACATGATATTTAATTGCTTTACAAGAAAATAAATGTTGTATTTATGCATATCATATACAGAAAAAAAGGTTCACTTGAGCCAAGAAAATATTTTTCTTCCTAATTATTTTCTTGGGCGAAAAAAAAATTTTTTTTGACACAAAAAATTTTACTTATCTCAACAAAATTAATTCTCTTGCTTCAAGAAATATGTATCTTGATCCAAGAAAATTTATTTGAATCAAGAAAATTTTTTTGTTTTGAGAAAATTTTTCTCTTGCTCCAAAAAATTAAGTTCTTGGCAGAAGTAAATTTTCTTGTCTTGACAAAATTTTTCTCTTGCTCCAAAAAATTAAATATCTCGATAATAAATTTTTCATAAATTTATATACTGAAAGATACTACTTCCCTAAAGTATCTAAAAATCTTGATTCAATATAAAAATTTATTGTATGAAATATTTATGATAATTTGAATTAAGAAAAATTACTTCCACCAAGAATAGAATTTCAAGAAAAATTTTTACTTCGGCCAAGACAACTTCGGTCTTCCTTCGGGCACCCGAAAATTTACTTGAGCCAAGAATTTTATTTTCCAGTCAAGAAATTTTTTTTTCTGTGTACTTAACAATTAAAAATTGACAGTTTTACAAACATTATCTTACATTTTTACCTACTACAGCCATAATGGTCAGCAATTGATAGATTTCTGCTGGAGCCCGAGGACAAACTTTGTATGTCGCGTCAATTAATAAATGACTGGTCTTGATTGTCCGTAGATATTCTTTATCGGCCAAAACAACTGCTGATGATTTATCACTGCTTTGTATATACTTCAGTTGTAATTCACTTTTGGTACGGCTCAAATAATTTTTCCATCTATCCATTTGCAAGTACGATACATATTCGTTTAGTGACTTAGGTTGCGGAGGGTGAATCTGTCGTCGCCAATAATTTATTGAAGATAGCATGCTATTGAACGGAACTAACGCTGCACCATCGGGGAATCTAAACATATATCACAAAAAAAACATGTTTTTAATTAGAAAATAATTTTTACTGAATATTTAAATGCATAATAATCTTGAGCTCAGTCTTGGATTGAAGTAAGAGCAAAGATTAATTGGATTGATTTTTTTTTATTCATTTTACAATTACTCAATACTAATTAGTTGGCATTCTAAACACGTACAATGTTTTAATGATTCGTCTTCTCGAATATTATAGGCATCAGAAGCCATATATGTAAACCAAAAAGTTTAAAAAATTGAAAAGTCCTATTAATTAATCGAACTGTTAAATAGTAAAAAATTTTTCGTCATTTCTTTGAATAAATTTTATGTACTAAGTTTTTATGTTTAAAATTTTGTATAAGAAATTTATTCGACGAAAAACTGAAAAATTTGTTGCTGTGTATGCCTTGTAAACCATTGTAATGATAATTGCATAAAGATTACTTTAGTTATATTTAAAAATTTATCAAAGGGTGTTGAAAAAAAATTAAGAACGTAAAAGAAATGAAAATAGGTTTTCGTCAAACAGTCGTAAAATGTATTCATCCTCAAAACACGATATATCGAGATAAATTCCTCTCTAAATCAATTTTTTTAAAGAGATTTGTGTTGACCTTGAAATTTTTTGTGTCCGCAAATCTAATTTTTTTTTCAATTAATATTATGACATGCACTTAAAAAATTTTTTGAACTTATTCTTTTTTTTCATGCAATAATAAAAATTTTCTAATGTCCCCTAATTTTATTGCTATTCAATTTGTTGGATTCTTTTAAAATACTAAAAAACGCACCGCAAACATAAATTGTTGTATATAATGCACGGTTTGATCGAAGTAGCCATTATTTGTTTCTTGAACTCGTTCTTGAATTCTCGAAATAATGCATCAACTTCTGGTTTGCTATGATTGTGTCTATTCGTCAGTTTAAAGTTTATTTTTTCGTTGTTCTCATCGACATCATATTGTAAACGCGCTGGGCACTTTTTGGATTTATTTTGATCACATAACATGTATCTGAAACAGAAAATACAATATTTATTATTATAACTAATCGTTTGTAAAACGTTAGGGCATTTATTAAAAGGATTCAAATAAATCGATTTTCCTTTCCAAAATACATTGAAAAATCGTCAAAAATTTACATTTAGCAGTCGAAATAGTAGTAGGTTATTCTTTGTTACAAAAACTTGTAGAATCGTTTAAACAAACGCAAGGGTAAGATTTTTCAAAAATTCTATCATGAAAACTACAGGAATATTTCTAATAATTTTCTTATACTGTATATTTACCTCGTTGCAAATTATTTAACGTTAAACTGGAACTTATGAGAAATTTTAATCATTTTTTCGTTATCCAAGGAAAGGATTAACTTTTCAAACTAAGTAAAATTTTTTTTTAATTTATCATGAGTCCAACTTCGATCTTAAATAACTATTGGAAGAGTAGATTTTTAAAAAATTTATGTGAGGTTTTTTTTTTGCAAAATGTTTAATTCTAACCTACCTATTGATTTATTTTATTTCCCAATAGAAAAAGGATTTTTTAAAAAATTGAACATTTTTAAATGTATGATTTTCATTATTTATAAAGTGAAAATTTTGTTTATACGACAGATGAGTTTTTTAACGTAAATTAAGTTTTAGACCGTGGGACCGCACATGCGGCAATAAACAAATACGCATAAGTAGACGAAAAATTCATTGAATTGGAGGTTTTTAAAATAAAGGTTTTTAAAAATTATCTCTCTCTATTCTTCTTTAAAGAAAAAAAAAGTTTTTAATCTTTGGTATCGTAAAAAAAAAAAACAGTTTTTGTTTTTTATTCACTATTTAATCAAAAATTAAAAAACGAACCTTTCACCATATGCTGCACTGATTAGAAGGATTTGTTTATAGTTACAAATATTTGTTAATATTTAACAAATCATTTATTAGAGATCACTTTTTAATCCTTAACAAATATTTCTTATTATTTGAAAAGATTTATTAATATTTAATAAATGAATATCAGATTTATTAAATACAAACAAATCATTTTAAATACTGAGTAATATTTGTTTAATACTAAAAAGTGGTCTCTAATAAATGATTT